TCAGCAGGAGTCAATTTATACTGCAAGAGAATAATGATGTACCTCAACTCATTTTAATTTCAATAATTGAATGAGAAATAGGAAAGCCTATTGAAAGGACTGTATTCTGGTCAAAGACTAATGAGAAAATAGTTTTGAGTCTCTGAGTCAGCGGGTGTCATGGTAACAATGCATTATCGAAATCTGATTAGCATGCCCAGCAGCTTTATAAATGATAACATGCTCTTCTAATTGTATTTCCCTTTCTTTCCCTGTGATGAGTTTTATATTCATAACAGGCAAGAGGTAAGGCAGCATTCTGTTTATCTGCAAGTTAGACTTAGGATGTCCAGCATGCTCACAAACTCCATGCAACCTGTCATTCAGTAACAGAAAAATTTTCTTAAATTACCTTAAAATAAGAGTTTGAGTCTTGCATTTCTTTCCTCCTGTATTATATGTAATTATTTAAGTCAAATATTATTCTCTTTTTTTAAACATATAAAATTATTTCTAAGGATATACACGTGAAAAGGCAAACATTGTGAAACACAAGCATCTTAAGAAAAAGCCCATATTTCACAGGAGATGCAAGAAAAGAGTAAGTGCATGTTTAATTCATCTCAGAAAGCATGACTCCATGTTCTTGAGGTTTTGAAAACAGGGAGGGGATTTTCTTGCGTTTAGAGGATTGTGTGTGCATTTGCTAACTCATTACAATATCAGAAATCACGAGGACTCATGAAATTAAATAGGATACTTTTCCTTCTCATGAAGAAAGAGCTAATATTGCTTCATAAAATAAATACTATGAAAATACAAGGTTGGAGGTTTGATAATACTCTTTTTGTAAGTGAACCTCAGGTGAGTACCCTGGCAGACCTTTCTTATATTCACAGCAAATAACACTATTGCAAGTAGAGCCTCACAAATCTGATGCAACATTATTTTAACCTACAGAGGCTCAATCTTAACAAATGGATTTTTTTTTTTTAGTAAAATGGCATTCTATTTTTCAAAGAATGACTAGGAAATCTACTTCATGTTTAGCCTATTTCTATGACCCAGTAACCTAAATGTTTATTTCTTATTTTCAATGTTCACTTTCATTTACTAATTCAGCTTCAAATCTGTATAAAGAGAAAGAAGGAAAGCTCATATTCTTATTCTCTAGGTAAAATTGAGTATTTTTAGTCAAATGACAAATAATGCCTAATAGAAGAAATCAAGTTTTCTGTAGTATTAAAAATGGAGCTGTGTTTGTTATAGCGTATGAACATGGAGAAAATTAATACAGCGAGACCTAAAAAGCTTATTACTCCTTGTTACGTGCACTGGCACGTGGACAAAGTTTAAGATGTACAAAATACTAAAAGCAATCAATCTTAAGTCAACGTACTGAAAGCCAGAGGAACATTTATCTACATGTCTGGAAATTCAGCAGAGAGTGCAGGGTTACACTGAGAATAGAAAGTCATCACAGCAGGCCAGTGAACAAAGAAAGAGCAAACAAGTACTCCCCAGAAGGGATTAGTGCTCTGTTCAAGGGACTGTTTGCACTAACCTTGGATGGAAGCAGCAACCTGAAAGCCAATCAGTGTGACCTTCCCCTGTCATGATGATGTTCCCATCAGGTAAAGCCCACATTTTCCAGAGACGGTCATCACTGCCAGTGACTACAATGTCTTTTCAGGGATGTAAAGCCAAGCTACCACAGAAAAGAAAGGCAGATTATATTCTGTATCAATTCCATTTTTTGTGAAATACACAGTAGCGAGATTCATTTAACGCAGGGCAACAGCTACAGAGGACACTGATTCTGGAGGGACTGGACAAGCAGTGATGCTTTCTGTGCTCAGAAGAATTTAAAATACATGCTATACAGATGAGTTTCTGCTGCTACTGGAGAAAATAACAAAACATGACTGACTTCTGTGAAACCATAATTGTTTTCACGCTCTTTTGAAGTTCCAGTTGATTAAAACACTCAAATATGTTTTAAAATACCATGTTTGATTACATTCTTACAAACACGCAACAGGGTAACATATGAACAAGCTGTACTAATGTGAATCACTTTTTCCCACACTCACAATAACTTCAAAAGCATCTGCTTGTCAGCCTGCTGCTGATGGCCAAAGGGAAAAGAGACAAAAGGACTCTCTGCTTTCCCTGCCCTGCTCGCCCATTGTGCCCACAGGTCTAAAGTCTCCTACCACTGAAAAATAACTCCAATGATAATTACAGTCCAGGAGCTAAAGTCTTTGCCATCACTTTAGCACCTATTCACTGGGACTAGGTCAGAGAATCCATTTCAATTCGATACTCAAAATGCGTTACATGTTTTCATTTTTTATGTAGCACACTGGGACATAATAGAAATTATACACTTATCACACCCCTATACTGAAAACTTGTTTTACTTTTGATTTGGCAACTGTAGTGCAGCTTAAAATGGATCCAGGGAAGAAAATAAATCTGCTGCAAAGATAACAAGTAGTGCATTTCATATGGATTTAGTTATTTGAATTAAATTATTGTAATGCTTTACTATTTGTTGAACATCAAAAAGCATCTAGGAGTTGACTTAGGTCCCAGGAGTAGATTATTTAAATAGATTAAATCTGGAGTTCAGAATCAAAATGCAACGATGGGGAGAGGAATCACCACCTGTGTGCAAGCCTATTTCAGTTGTGCATTAGAGCCGACAGTTTGCAGAGAAAAATGGCTATTAAAACAGAATCAGAGCAGAGAGAGATGATGCTAAGCAGCCAAATCAGAAGAAAAGAGAGGTCTCAGAAGGCATGCTATTACAAAAATCTTTTTTAATAGTACCTTTTTCCTGCACTCAAATTATTTCATCAAATTCCACAGTGTCTACCACATTGGGAAAAATAATTCTCTGAAATCCACGCTAAAACCACATTTATGTCAACTAGATTTTCATCAGAAAACACACCTATTCTTGCAGTTTAGGGAACAGTCTAGGAAGATTCCTACAGCTTCATCAGCTGAACTCATCTGCTCAACCAAGGAACCTGCGTTTTACTCATTCTCTAGTTTGTTACAGAGAAAAAAACCCCACATTTTCTATCTTTGCCTAAAGAAGAAAAAATTTCTTTGCATTTATAGGGAGAAAAGAGAAGGATGGAATGATGCTGTTTAAATTCTCCAGAGATGCACAGAGAGCAATCACATCACTTCGATTACCCACAACAGATACCCAGAAGAGCAAAGAGGGAACAGAGATAAAAGGAGAGAATTAGAGGCTAAAAGAAGGCATGCCAGCAGCCTGCAAATTACAGGACAACAATAACTCTCCCAGATTCTCTCTACTATCAGAGACCTCTGACAAACCAAAAATCCCAACATAACTTTGTTATTTTCTGCAGCGTGCATAGGCATGTAGCATTGTTATTCTGGTGAGTTCTAAAAAGGAGACCACTTCACAGAAAAATGGGTGGGCTAATAACTATAGAATCATAGAATGGTTTGGGTTGGAAGTGACCATATAGATCATCTAGTTCCAATGCCCCTGCCACGGGAAGGGACACCTTCCACTAGACCAGGTTGCTCAAAGCCCCATCCAACCCGGCCTTGAACACTTCCAGGGAGGGGGCAGCCACAACTCCTCTGGGCAACCTATGTCACTGCCTCACCAACCTCATGGGAAAGAATTTCTTCCTTATGTCTAATCTAATTCTACCCTCTTTCATCTTGAAGACATCCCCTCTTCCCCTGCCACTACAGGCCCTCATAAAAAGTCCCTTCCCAGCTTTCTTGTAGGGCCCCTTCAGGTACTGAAAGGCCAAAACAGGGTTTCCCCAGAACCTTCTCTTCTCCAGGCTGAACAGCCCCAACTCTCTCAGCCTTTCCTCACAGGAGAGCTGCTCCAGCCCTCTGATCATTTTTGCGCCCCTCCTCTGGACCCTCTCCAACAGGTCCGTGTCCTTCCTGTGCTGGGGGCTCCAGAGCTGGATGCAGGACTCCAGGTGAGGTCTCACCAGAGTGGAGTAGAGAGGCAGAATCCTCTCCCTCAACCTGCTGGCCACGCTGCTTTTGATGCAGCCCAGGATACAGTTGGCCTTCTGAGTTGTGAGCGCATATTGCTGGGTTTTGTCCAACTTTTCATCAACCAGCACCCACAAGTCCTTCTCAAGGTTGCTCTGAAGTCATTCTCCACTCAGCCTGTATCTGTGCTTGGGATTGCCCCAACTCATGCGCAGGACCTTGCACTTGACTTTGATGAACTTCATGAAGTTCACACGGGCCCACCTCTCAAGCCTGTCCAGCTCCCTCTGGATGTCATCCCTTCCCCTCGGTTTGTCAACCACACCACACAGCTTGGTGTCATCGGAAAACTTGCTGAGGGTGCGTTCGAACCCACTGTCCATGTCCCCGATAACGATGTTAAACAGCACTGGTCCCAGTACCAACCCCTGAGGAATGCCACTGGTCACTGGTCTTCACTTGGACATCAGGCCACTGACCACAACTCTTTGAGCGTGGCTGTCCAGCGAATTCCTAATCCACCTTGTTGTCCATCCATCAAATCCATGTCTCCCCAGTTTAGAGACAAGGTTGTCATGCGCAACAGCATCAACATATAAAGATTAATCCATCAGGGCTGCTAAACACACTCTCCTCTCCGCCCCTAAAATATACAGGACCTTCCTCACTGGCACGCACCTGGCTGTGCACCACACAGAAGCGAGACCAGCACAGGAGTATCTTTTACTTGCTAGCAACAAGGTCCTAAACTCCTCTGGAGGTAGGAAGTGAATGGCAAGGGAAAAAGAAATGGAAGTGGATTCAGGAAGACTAGAGAGGGAAGAGACAATGCCTGCTGCAAAACCACCAACAGCACATTCTACCGCAGGAAGCTTAATCACCGATTCAGGCCTGTCTATGATGCGGTCAAAAGACTGGCTGTTTCTGTTTGGGGAACAACTTTATGTTGTTTGAGAAAACAAACAAGCAAACAGAGTCATACAGATACAGCTTACATTTTTCTCTTAATATCTTTCAGATACTCCAGATAACTTCCAGTTTTTCCCTCCAGGTATTTCTGCTATTAGTCGACTGCATGGCTGTTGTGAATCCTTTCCATTGGTTACCTCTCTTACATTCTTCCGAAATACCTGCCTTCTCCATTCCCAAGATGTGTTACACAGCCTAACTTAAATCACCTTTAGTCCACCTTTCACTCAAAGAAAAACTAATCTACTGGCTTCCTCTGGATCCCAACTCGCTTTCTCAGCAGTCCTTACCCACTGGCTTGGCTGCAGCTGTCTACAGCTGTGAGCTGCACTGTCGTTCATCCTGCTTCAGCTCCCAGGAACATTTTCCCCGTACTGGACCCTTCTAACACACTTCCAGTCAAACTTTGGAAATGGTCAAACTTCTTCAGTAACTAGACGTTCCTAAAGAGCTTTGAGACAATCCATAAAGTGAATTTCATATGGAAGAAAATATCTTGCCGTCAGTACGAAGCATGCAAGTTTATTTTTCACAGGCTTTTCTTTTAATTGCAGAGCTCTTGTAAAATGCTGCTGCTGTCCAATGTGTTTTTTCTCCACGCCATTTTTACAGGCGCACAGTGAACACTATTTAATTAACAGCAAATTTGTGACATAACCACTGTCGAGCTGCTTCTGAGAAAGGGAAGCCCATTCATCCAAAAGGCGTTCTATATGCAACATTAAGTAAGCAACCTCGTCTTCATTTCTGGAAATCCAGCATTGTATAGATTTTTGCTTCATCTCTGTTCACAGTGTCTAATTATTTCCAGCACAGAAGACTTTGGGTAGATTGGAATGGAAATCAATAATGGAACATATGTGATAGGAACATTAGTTTTCTCCTCCTCCTCCTTTGGGATAGAACTGGGATCTGAGGGGACTTGGCCAAGAACAAAACCAAAAAAAACTGTCAGAGATTTGCTGCTGTTGAGTATATAAATACCCATGTCTACACAACTCATGCTGGCATTGTAAGACATTGTCATCTCTTCATCACTTGCCATGTTAGATATATAGTTCTCCCAGTAATTTGCTTTCAAAACAGTCATCAATTATTTTAATTTATTTTCACTGAACCATAAATAAAGACATGATATCTTCAGATGCAAATTACTTTCAGACTCAGCATGTACTATGTTTGATCATTTCACACATATAACACCAACCTTCAGGTTAAAAAGTGTTAAATACAAAGCAGTCTGCATAACCTTAACTGTGTATTTGTTTTAATATGAACACTAACTACATTGCACAGAGACAGGGGAGACTTCAGTTAGATGCGAAGGAAAACTTTCTGGCAATAAGGTTTCTGAAACACTGGAACTGATAGCCATCTGCCATCATTAGCCTGGTCTTAAAGCTCTCAGTACACCTATCACGTATCACGTAGGTAGATTACTTCCATCATAGTTAGGAGAATGGACTG